AATTGTGAGATAAAAAGTCGCAATTACCTTTTTTTCCTTCTGTGGTGGAAACAAGCTTCCATAGAAGTGACATGTTCAGAACTAAACAATACAAAAAATGTCAATCTTTTGGGGTAAATAAATAGTAAAATATGAACAAATATTTAAATCACTATAAATCAGAACACAAAATGTACAGACACATTTACCATTGTGCTATAAAGTCATTTCAACAGAAATCCTCGCAATCAGGAATTTCGCTGAAAGCAAAGGTTTCCCGAAGTTTGCTGACCTATGGAAGCTTGTTTTCAATAAAAATGAAAAAAGGTAATTGTGGCTTTTTTTTCTCTCACATTTCTGACTTTACTTCTCGCAATTGTGACTTCAGGCCCGTCTTTCAAATGTGAGGCCTATAAAATCGATTTAAAGTAGCTGATGTTTCTGGTTAAAAAATAAAGTGCATCCTCTTTTTGCATATGCTCTCTCTCTCTCTCTCTCTCTCTCTCTGTTTGTGTGTTTCTCTCTGACAGGTGTGGCAGTGGATGCAAATACTGATGTGATCAGCAGTGATTGATTTTATCTGCAGGGCTGAGCAGTGCTGAGGTACACAGGTCCAGGCCTCTCTGCCCTGACACCTATAAACCCATCCAAACACAGGCTGGTCTGATTGATTCGTGTATGGACCAGACGTGTGACCAATGAATAATTAAAACCCTTAAACCCGTGCGGCTTTGGGAATTGGCTGCCCGATGACCAGCTTCCTGACTTATTGACGGTCTCGCAGCTGTCACGTCAAGATTTGACAGCCAAACACAAGTCATCAGAGGCTTAGTAAGTATAGGCGGGGCTGATAATATTATTCAGCAAATCAGCATGCGTGAAATTTAATCTAGTGAAACCATTGTTGCCCAGGGCAGATTGTTTGTGACATGCTAATTTGATGAGGTTTTTGTTTTCTCCCACTCTTTCAAAAGATATTCATCATTACACAAATTATGTGTAATAATTGGTCACAACACTCGATTTTGATAACCGACGCAGAATTGAAACTAAAATAGAGTATTTGTTTATTTATGGTTATAACTTTTTTGATTCAAAATAACTTGCGATGACGGTCTCTGTGTGTTAGAATTACAGCGCATGTGCATGTTTAGATGAGTGCAGTGCACTAGTGGCACTTGCTGAACATGTTCTGCTGTGTGATAGCGCCCCCTGCTGCTCACTGTATCTTCGTGAGAAGAGGCGCATTGTGTTGGAGAGACTAGGGCTCTTTTTTTTTTTAAATGTCAGGTTATTTACATACAAACTTAATAAAAATAACTACAACAAAAATATTATAAAATAACTTCATTCATTTAACATTTATGGGTCAGTTGTCACAAGGAAACCTGCAATTTATTGACATTGTTTTGATAAGAATAGCCTACCTTTGTGTATTGTTGAAAATGAATATACGCAATATTACTATTATATCTTAAGTTAAAAAAGCCTGCATTTTGTGATAAGGGCAGAATTCAGAAAATAATGTACTATTTTTTTTATATATATTTTGTTTTGAAGTAGGTATTTTGAAATTTATGTGAAATTTGCCTACTTTACAGTGTGACAAGCTGTCTTCCGTAGCCTACGTGTTACATTTGTTATGATGATAGACTACTAATAATTATTAAAAAATACATAATGGAGACATATAGCGTTCAAAACCACTGTGTATTGTAACATATCTAACATTTTCAATGTTTTACTGTACAGTATACTGTATTGTACATTCAACGAAAGACATGAACGAATTGACTCGAGAAAAGATTCGTTCAATTTGATGAACGAGTTAGAACAGGAGAGTCACGAACGCGCATCACAGAACAGAGCACGGAAAACATTTTAGCTTATAAAACTTAAACTTTTTTCTTTCTTTTTTTTAAATGAGCGATCGCTTGATAAGACCCTTATTCGTCGTCTGGAATCGTTTAAATCGTTAATCCTAGTTTGAGCAGTTTGCACTGAAACTGTCTTTTGGACCTTGAACCGTTTGGGTCCCACTGAAGTGCATTATAGAGAAAAATCCTGTAAAATGATGTAGCCTAGGCTGTATGAATAGATATAAGCTTATAGCCTATATAAATTATTATTAATACAGCCTAGCCTAGAAAGATCACAAAGGGCTCCGTTTATAAACACCTCCCAATCTCACTCAGTTACAATCAATGAAACTGACAGCAATCTCTTCGAGTGGTCAGTGAATACTAATTTAAACAACTCTGACTGGACACTGCGGTCTAGATATCAACAGTGCTGTCTGTGATTGGCTAAATTTCTCAATGCTACAAAAACACATTGTAAATCGAAACCCTTGATACAGTCCAGAGCACAAACACACAGACACGCACTGGATAGGCAAAGGTTTCGTCGATATGCTATCATTAGCCTGTACGGAGAAAACTGATCCTATATCAGCGGTTATTATCACTTTTATCTGTAAAAGCAAACCGAAGCAGCAGCAGTCAGGTGTTTTTGCCCTGCCCCACTCCGCCTATGCTTGTTTTAATGAATAACCCAATCAGGTTGTGTCTGTTGGAATGAGTAACAGCGGCTCTAGAAACGGGGAAATATGGCTCAGAGACATTTTGAGGGAAAAGCACATGCTGAATCTTACCAGCGTTACCGAGTGTCTCCTCCTCAGGAACTCATAGACGAAGTGCTGAACTTCCTTCGAAAAAGAGTATGTCAGTATGTGAGATGGGTGTGTTTGGAAAAAGCTTATAGGCTATCATAATGACTCAGCACGTTATGTATCTGAAGTTGTATTTGTCTTGAATTTGTATGAGTCTAAACTATGAAAAGAGTCGAAGACACGTAAAAGCAAAGTGTAGGCTATATCAAGTTATTGCTTTGTTAAAACTTTTGCAAACATTCTTAGTCTTTTAAAATATTGTCAGTATTCATTTTCCTTTCCTATGGATTTTGCATTGAATAAATATTAAAGAATTAATAAATAATCTAATAGCCTATGTCATCATTTGTAAATCCTCATGTTTGAAACCTGAACGCTTTAAAAAAAATGTTTTAACGCAAAATAGCAGATTTCAGGTGTGTTATTCACCTTATTCCCAACATAAGAGTGGGTGTGGCCATTGTAACTTCATGTCTCATCCGCTTCCATTTATTTTAGCTGTACAACAACTTTCCGTTATGTTTCTTGAAATTACAAACTTAATATCATAATTACTTTAGCATTTACAGCATTTTGTTATTTAATGTAGGCCTAATAGCGTCAAATGAAGCCCATTGTCACTCAATCAAATAAAATAGCTTACTTCCACGTTGGTACATAAGAACGTGAAAATGATATGAGTTTGGAACAAACATTTTTACTTAAACTATACTTTTAAGACTTTAAATTTGAATGATAGATGCATTGAAGTCAGCTCTTGAAAACACACCAGCATAGCTAAAGCTTTCTTTTGACCTGAACAGAGACAGGAGCCGCTTGATCTGGCAGTGGATGTGGGCTGTGGGTCAGGACAGGGAACTGAACATCTGGCTCCTCACTTTATGACTGTGGTCGGGACAGACATCAGTTCAGCTCAACTGGAGATAGCCTCTGCTAAAGATCACGCAGCAAATTTGTGTTACAGGTACAAAATAACTATAAACACCTGCAAGAAAATATAGTGTGTGTTTCTAAATTTTTTATATACATTTATGAAATTTTATAACATTTCTAGATATTTTACAATTATGTTTTTATCCACTTTTTAAACATTCCTTCCCTATGTTTCCCACTGTTTGCACACTATGTATCTGTGTATCCTGCTCCATTACTAGACAGAGTCCTGCAGAGGAGTTGCCCTTTGAGGACGACATTGCCGACTTAGTTATATCCATGTCAGCCGCTCACTGGTTTGACCATCCGCTCTTCCTGCGGGAGGCAGACAGGATTCTGAGGCCAGGAGGCTGTCTCGCGCTGCTCAGCTACACCATGGATTTTGAGCTGGAATATGGAGAAAGTACCTTGAAACTCAATCAAATCTGCCAAGAGGTTAAATAAACCATAAACAAAATGTTTCATGGGTTGTTGTTCAGGAAACCTATATTATAAATGTTTGATATGAGGCAGCCTATGATGCCGCATTTTAATTGATTGGCTTTCTAGCACTAGAGCTCTTCAGTGTTAAATCTATTTTTCAATTTACAGTTCTATGCAGCCCTGCACCCTTTTCGGAAAGCTTATATAGGATCCTGTTCCCTCCAAGTGTACAAGAAGATATATGACCTTGTTTCATACAATGACAAAGAGTGGTAAGTGTGCTTTTTATTACATAGCAGCTTCGTAAGGATCATGCCAATAAAATAGACACATACAAACTTTAAAGACTTTAAATATATCAGATTCACACATAAATGCCTGTATTTGTTTGCACAGGCATGAATGTCTGAAGGCTCGGATGATGATGCCACTGTCAAGGTTCATTGGCTTGGTTGAATCTTTCGCTACATATCAAGGATACCTGGAAAAGGATCCTGTTGAGGCCAAGAGACTGTCTCAGACAATCACAGACAGGTAACAGACAGCCTCGGCTCATAAGGAACATCGTACCGGATGCTCTGAAAGAAGATAGCCATTCAGTGTTTAATTAATGAATCCAATTATTTCTGAAATGTATAATATTTATTAAACTATATCATTAATAAAATGTTAATAGTTGTCATTATTTTATTTTCAGGTTGTTGGAAGCAATGGGGGCCACGTCGACTGACACTGAAGTAACAGTGGTAGTGAAATACTTCTATTTATTAGCCTCTAAACCTCAGAAATCCTAAAATGAGTCCTCTGTTTCAATTGTTTCTCAATGCTTTAAAGAACATTAAAGCGTTTGTGTTGAACAATAAACACTTAACTACTGGATTTATTATATCGCGTGTTTAATGTTTCTATCTAAAGTTCTCTGACTCAAAATCTCATTTGGCTTTTCAGGAAAAGGGTGGACAGTTTATTTGTGGCGTTTGATTCCACACGGACTTTTTTTTTAAATGAACGAAACAACTTCCGGCTTCTAAACCGCTCGGGCAGCGGAAATCATTAAACTCAACGGAAGGAACTAATCCGTGAAGTATTCAACTCAATTCTATTTCTTTTAACGACTTTCAACGTGATTTACATAAAAGTTGTTTGGGGGGAAACGGCGTGAAATTCATTTGGAATATCCTGATTATGGTGTAAACGGGACAGTTCGGTGACTCTGACAGCGGCAGGTAAGTGTAATATCGATTGCAGCCGAGTTATTGACATTTTTTTTGTTGCATTATGAATGTGAAGATATTTTACTCCCTACGTTTCTGGATATTACCAGATAGTCATCTCAAATCCAGGATAAACAATGCACTGTGTGATGGGGGTTAAAGTGTAGATGCGAATGAACATCATGTTAGCACAATAACGGCTCAAACCGAACCGGTACATGATTATTACCAAAGTTTATTTTGTTTAATTTCATAACATCTGCATCTGATACGCTTATTGTAGTCTCTACAATATATATGTTTTATGAGGTTTAATATTGCTTTATTATTTTAGGTATAGTATAAAGGTAACGTTACCAGACTAATGGTAACAGATGGTAATACCATGGTACTTTGATTTATTCATTAGCACTGTCAGAATACCCTATTCATGTACTAGGGTATTTACGTGATATTACCACAGTGCTTGTTTATAAAACATGGTATTGCTGATTTGTGGATTTTCTAGTAACGTTACATGTCAGTTGCATGATATTACCATGAAACCATGTCACCCAAAACATGGTACTTGATTCTTTCACACCAGAGTGTGTCCCTTTGTGTTTAATTTGTTTTATACATGTAATACAATATCTGTAGCAGATTATGTAGTAAAATACTTGGCTAGTCTGTTGTTTTTCTCACAGTATATATGTTTTTGTTGTTTAAAAATAGTAATGCTATATGATAGCCAGTATAATGTCAATACAAAACACATCTGTGATATCATATACTACTACATATGAACTCCAGTAAGTTCGGCAGTTGCTATAAAAACAATCTGTCCTAAAACAGTCAGAATCAGAAAGAGCTTTTTTTGCCAGGTATATTTTGCAACTACAAGGAATTTGTTTTGGTGACAGAAGCATCCACATCACAAACAGAATGACAGTGACAAGACAAACAATAAAGGACACACATATTATAGTAAATAGCAAATAACAATATATTGAAAAATACACAATATACTAAATAGACAATAGCATGTACAGTGCAATATAAGTACAGTAAGTATGTCCAAATGTAAATAAGAAGTAGCCTATGGTGTGTTAAATAAATAAATGTATAAAACAGTGTTGTTTTGCACATGTTTATTGCCAAGTGGGGGACATTAATTGTTCATGAGATGATTGCCTGGGGACAAAAAAGTGTCCTTAGCCTGACCGTTCTGGTCTTCACTTCAGTGCTCTGTAGTGCTCGACCGGACGGCAACAGTTAGCATAGCAAGGAAGTGATGGCATGTGGTTTACATTTGTACACTTATGCTAATTATAATAATAGTAATAATACTGTATAGAGTAGCTCCTTGTTTCAGAATACAAAAAAAAAACATGAATAAATTATGATTGATGCACTGCAGCACACTGTTGTTATTATTTTAAAATGTGTTATATTGTATCTACAATGAATTCTTGCTTTATACAAATAATTTGTGTTAATTTCAGTTAACGTTTATGTCAAGCGACATGTTTAGGTAAATAAAATAGCGTTGACCATCATCGTGTGTATTTGTGTTGGTCACAGGTGTGTGAGCGTGTGTATGTTGGTGTGCTGGTATGCTGACGTTAGCCAGTAAGCTGAAGAGGGAGGAAGGCATGAGGGCCGGTCGAACCTCTGCAGGCTCTAATGATGCCTCTCATAGAGTGTCCATCAGAGATCGACTGCTCATCAAAGGTACGAACCACTGACCAAACACTCCTTCTGCCGGCGGGCTTCGTGACACAAGAGCCTAGTGGTTCACAACCCAAATTTAGGTCTGGTCTGATAAGGTCACACACATATTAGGCAGTTACACATGAACAGGTCATACTAGTACATGAACACTGACTGAACAGGTCGAAACCCCCCAAAAAATAACACAAGGTAAAAGAAACCAGATTACATCGAATGAATTGGCATTTTGTTACACATTTGTACAGACAACAAAGTGTTTTGTGCATTGAATTATTGGTTTAAAAAAAAAAAGAAATATATATATATATATATATATATATATATATATAATTTTTAAACCAATAATGCAATGCTTTTTCTTTCATATATATATATATATATATGAAGAGTTCAGATGCAAAAGCCTCTAAATGCCATTTGAAATTTTCTTCTTTAATGATGATTTTTATCAAACTTGTATATTTAAGTTCAGTAATTTCACTTAAATAACAATTAATTGGTAATTATCATTGCCATTTAAGTGAAATCACTGAACTTAAATATACAAGTTTGATAAAAATTATCATTAAAGAAGAAAATTTCAAATGGCATTTAGAGGCTTTTGCATCTGAACTCTTCATATATATATATATATATATATATATATATATGTATATGTATATATGTTTAAGAATCATTTTGACACTTTTTGGTCTAGTATCTATCTGACTGTCTACATTTGAATCTCTAAGATTTTGTTGTTGTTGTCTCTGAAAATAAATGTATTCTATTTATCATGATTCAACACACATTATAATTGGATTATGAACAACACTCTGCCAAACTTTTTGAAAGAGAAGAGCAGGTCTGAATCCAGAGAGCATGTTGAGTCGAGTTGTGTTGTAGTGACAGTAAGGTGATGTGATGCAGGCCAGATCAGGAAAGCAGTAAACTCTATTTATATCAGACTGAGAGGAGGAGTCCATATGCCATTACCAGCAGCTTAAAAAAGCAGTTCCCGATCCGCCGGCAAACACTCAAGCTATTTTTTGAATCAGTGAGGCCATGAGATCCGCCCCAAACTGTACATTTAGAGATGGTATAGTGAGAATGAATTTGCCCATATAGCTGGTGGCCATATATGCTTTTTCTTTCATACATGTGTCTTGTATCAGTGCTTCATAAACAAACAACTAATTCAGGGAAGGATTCCTGTAACAAAGGAAATTTTAAAACTGTATATCGTTCTAAAACATCTGTTTATGTACTGGTTAGTAAAATCTGGTTTCATAAGTTCCATCAGTTTTAACCTCTGCTTTGATTTGTGTTTACAGAGGTTGCAGAACTTGAGACCAACCTTCCAAGTGAGTGTGTCTTATCTAGGACATTTTGTGCAGTATTTTGATACCATATCAGTTATTGCTATATATAATTCTAGATGTACAAACAATTTTTATATATATATCCAAAATAAAAGTCTGTGTTTGCATATTAGATGTGGGTGCACTGTGTATACATATTTTATATATATAAACACACACACATGCTTGTATATATTTAAGAAATATTTTCATGTATATACTGCATATAGATGTATATATAATTTATATTAAATATAAATATTATTTATAATAATAATATTTTTTCTTAAATATACTGTGCATGCGTGTGTGTGTTTATATATACAAAATAATTATACAAAGTGCACTCACATATATTATGTAAACACAAACTTTTTTTATATATATATATATATATTGTTTGTTTTTACATTTAGAATTATACATCTCTTTATTTTATTTTTAGATTGTTGCTGTTCTTTTCTTGTCATATAATCTTGAAAAGTATGAATAACTATTAAATATAATCTTTAAATAAATATAAATATTCACACCTATACATTATAATGTTGTTATGCTCTGTAGCATTTAAAATGATTGCTTTTCATTTTTTTGTGATTTTTTTTAATTTCTTTTGTCAAAATTATAGAGTCTAAATAGCATCCGTTTATTAGTTATTGCCCATAACATGATTTTTCTCTGATTTATTGTATGATTTCGGTGCATCCCTAATGCTGCTTCTTTCATACATTGTAGGAAACATTTTAAAATTATACAAAACAAAACTTTTTTTTTTTTTTCATGATACAAATCTGTCAGTTGTAATGCAGATGTTAATTTATATCTATTTGTGTGATTATGAACTATTATTTGAAATCTTGTTCTTTCTGCAGATACCTGTAAAGTTACATTTCCTGATGAAAACAAACTCCATCACTTCCAGTTGGCCATTTCTCCAGGTAATACTGACCTCTTTTAAAAAGGTTAAATTGTTAATATCCATTAAATGCAAACGCTGTTGAACAGTGTAAAAGAGTTCAGTTGACCTATCCATACCCAATATTAAGGCATTTTCTCACAGATCACAAGTATTTCAAATAAAACATTTATAATCTATTGTCTGTTGTTTCATGGGTTGTTTCAATACAGAAGAGCAAACAAAAAAACAAATATCATTTGCTAATTTTCAGATACGATTCACATTGTTTTTTTGTCACTCTTGGTGTGAATAGGCCTTTGCTCATCTGTTTTTTTATACATTGCTAGTATCTGTCAACTGTTTTGTATTGTGCTAGTGAAAATATAACCTTCCATTTCCACAAAACATCTCTTCAGATGAAGGCTATTACCTTGGTGGAAAGTTTCAGTTTGAGATTGAAGTTCTTGAAGCCTATAATATGGTGGTAAGTGCCTGTAACCTATCATGAAGTATTGAGGTAATGCCACACTTACTCACTTGCACTGCAATGATGATTTTAGTAGTCCATTTGTAAGCGGGGCCGTTAAATAGATGTTATTGCGGGCATTGCCGATGTTTTGCAGTGTCTGAATTCAATAAAATAGCAGCCTGAGTGTAAACACACATGTATAACACAACCCATCCTTGACCTCAGAGCACCTGAAATCAGTAAAAACTGTGCAGAGATCCAAACATGGACCTACAATCATGAAATATTAAGGAGGCGAAAGGCAATAAGCGGTAACACTTTACTTGAAGGGGTGTTCATAACCATGACATGACATATGTATTGAATATGAACTAGGGTTTATGCATGTTTGTGACAACTGTCATTCATAAGTGTCATTCGCTCAGTTAACGACATTTGTAATGCAAATATGACATTGTTTGAGATGTCTGTCATGACAACTTGACAAACCAATACATCATAACCTGTCAGTGTCTTTGTTGGACAACTTGACGTTACTAAGACAACACAACCTGTCATAAACATGACATAGCAGATTAATGATCAAACTTAAGAAACCACCTAGCTTTATTTGTTAACATTACATTAAACTGTCAGGTGGTTGGTTTTGACGTTGGCTGTCATGAGGCCTTTATAACAAATTAATGACAAATTAATTAGTACCACTGTAGATGAGGTCACAAACTCATGACAGCCAATGTTAAAGCCAACCACATGGCAGTTTAATGTAATGTTAACCCATAGAGCGAAGTCCTTTCTTAAGTTTGATAATTAATCTGCTATGTCGTGTTTATGACATATTTATGACAGGTTATATTGTCTTGGATAACAAAGACATCTCAAACAATGTCATATTTGCATTAAAAATTTCATAATTGAGCGAATGACACTTAATGACAGTTGTCTTAAACATGCATAAAACCTCCTTCATATTCATGACGTGTCATGTCATGATTATGAAGGTGTCATGTCAGTCTTATGTACACCCCTTCAAGTAAAGCGTTACCCATTAAGAGCAAACCTCCATTATTGCATAAAAACCTTGCTGCATTATAATGACTAGAAGACATTTATAGTAATTCATATTAAAGGATCATACAATGCTTTTTTAAAAGTTCTTTATTTTGTGTACTGGGTGTAAAAGAATAGGTTAATATGCTTTAATGTTCAAATACACACTGTTTTTCACATACTGTACATTATTGCTGCATCTGTATTTTCAGTCTGGATTATGTCAATTTTGAAAAGGTAGAATCGATTGCATATAGACTTGTTTACAATGATCTCTGTTAGACAGAATCAAATTCAGACATGCACCCAAGGTAGGGCTGTAATATTACAAACCATGTTCTGCTTTCCACAGCCTCCGAAAGTCAAGTGCATGACTAGAATATGGCACCCAAACATTGCAGAAACCGGAGAGATCTGCCTGAGGTATTTCTCTATGTCTGTTATGTATTCATGTCTTAATGTGTCAGACTCCACATTGGTTTGATTATTTTGATGTTCTTTAACTGATGTTGTATTCATGTATTCAAGTTTATTGCGAGAGCATTCAATTGATGGTACTGGATGGGCACCCACCCGTACACTAAAGGTAATTTCTGTTTTTGTAATGCATCTTGGGAAATTCATTAAAGTGTTTACCAAGTGGAACTGTATTGAAATGCTTCATTTTCTTTCTTTCTTCTGATATTTTCATAGTTTACAGATTTTAAATGCCATTGTATACATTTGCATCTCAAGCATTGTTTTTTTTTTTCTCAGAAAATGTGGTAACACTTTACATGAAGCGGTGTGTATAAAACTGACATGACACCTTCATAGCCATGACATGAGATATGTCTTAAATATGAAGTAGATTTATGCATGTTTATGACAGTGTCTTTCGCTCAATAATGACATTTTGAATGCAAATATGACATAATATTTGACATAAACCAATCATAACCTGTCAGTGTCTTTGTCATGACAACTTGACATTAATGAAGTTAAACTGTCACGTGGTTGGCTTTGACATTGGCTGTCATGAGGCATTATAACTGTGTCATGAATATTTTTCGTGACCTCAACTATAGTGGTACTAACTGAATTTGTCATTAATTTGTTATAATGGCTTCATGACAGCCAATGTCAAAACCAACCACCTGACACTTTAATGTAATGTTAACCAATAAAGCTAGGTGGTTTCTCAAGTTTGATAATTAATCTGCTATGTCATGTTTATGACAGGTTGTGTTGTCTTAGTAATGTCAAGTTGTCATAACAAAGACACTGACAGGTTATGATGTATTGGTTTATGTCAAGGTGTCATAACAAAGACATCTCAAACAATGTCATATTTGCATTAAAAATGTAATAATTGAGTGAATGACACTTAATGACTGTTGTCACAAACATGCATAAAAATGTATATATTCATATTTATAACATATGTCATGTCATGATTATGAAGGTGTCATGTCAGTCTTATGCACACCCCTTCAAGTAAAGTGTTACTGAAAATGCTTATCCCCCTGATAAATAATGTAAATATTAAACTAAGACTGTATATTTAAATACCTAATATTAGTTGGTTTATTTATTACAAAGAAAGTGATGTTTGTGTTTTTGCCGAAGTCAGAATGGCAAGTTTCTGTGTTGGCTAATCTGCATTATTTTTCCCACCCATGTTTATGTCTTCAGGATGTAGTGTGGGGACTGAATTCACTCTTTACTGTAAGTACACATGCAATCTTCAACAAAGAGCTTAGATAATCAGTTTTTAATAGGGCTGTCAAATGATTAATCGCATCCAAAATAAAAGTTTGTGTTTACATAATATATGTGGGTGCACTGTGTATAATTATTTTATATATATAAATACACACACATGCTTGTATTTATTTAATAAATATTTTAATGTATAAACTGTATATATATTTATATATAATTTATATTATATGTAAATATTTTATATATAAATCACATTTTTTATTAAATATGTGTGTGTATTAATATATATATACAAAATAATTATACACAGTGCACCCACATATATTATGTAAACACAAACTTTTATTTTGGATGCGATTAATCGTTTGACAGCCCTAGTTTTTAATTTTGACTTTGAAAACCAATAGTGTGGTTTCTCTCTCAGGATCTTCTTAACTTTGATGACCCACTGAATATAGATGCAGCAGAGCATCATTTACGGGACAAGGTAAAACACCATCACACATAACACGTCTACTGGCACAGTCTTTTGGAAACGTAACGGCTAAAGAAAAAAAATAAATACAGTGATATTTGCATAAGTATCCAAAGCCGTCAATCTCTCTAATGCTTCCTGTTTTAGGAGGATTTCAGGAACAAAGTTCAGGACTTCATCAAAAACTATGCAAGATGATGTCTCTGTTTGCCACGTGAGCCACTCTCACATGCATGTGACTTTGCAGATGTACGTCGATTCAGACTGGCAACAGAGACAAAATCGCAAGCTATTAAAACATACTTGGGGAAAGAAGAAAGTTAAAATGTGTAATGAATGAGTTCCCTGAGCAAGATTTGGGAGGGGGGATATGGGCCTTACTGTCCATTTCTATGGGATTTTTATTTCGAAGCGGACACTCTCGCTGGTTCTTCTCAATCAAGATTGCTTTTACTCCTCCCACACAAAAAAGAAAGTACAAAGATGGTGATCATGAAAATGAGGACGTGTAACCTCTCTGATGTCACCTCCTATGCTAGTGCCTCTGTGTTTTTGCCACATATAACTGAACATGCGTTGTAAGCCAACTTCTGCAGCCTGCTTCTTGAATTTGTTCATAAGTGATGTCATAGAAATCCCAAAGTTCCATTGGTTCGTTGGCTCTGGGGGGAGGAGTCCACCGTTGAGGAAATGCGCGAAAGCATAAAGCACTGATGTCCCGCTGAATACGCCGGTGGATTCGTGTAAAATCACTGCGGTTTTCAGACTACTCCGTATCACCCATGCAAATGACGAGTTATTAAACCGTTTCAGTTCAAATCTGTGAGATGTGTCCAATGTCCAGCTCACATTTTACACTTGAAATCAAAGGAGAAATCTATTTAAGATGTGCTGATAAAGCTTTTTTTTTTTTTTTTTTTTTTTTGATGATGATGATGAATTATGTATGGTTTCCTCGAAATTGCTCGAAATGAGGAAATTGTGCATAATGATCATTAAATGGAAAATATAACTTGTTATTGCTTGTGATTTTGGAGTGAAATATGACCCGGAATGTGCAGGTGAGATTCAGCCTTTGCTCTCGTATGCATTTTTTTGTCAGTGTATACACGTTCAGCTTTACCGATGTGTGCATGTACACAAGAATACCTGTATGCTAGTACTGTGTTTGTGTGAGAGTGTGTGTTTGAGCGAGAGAGAGACTGGGATTTTAACACATGTCTGATTTGGTAGCATGCACTGGGCTACTGAACTGCTCAGCCATAAAGCCTGTTCAATTAGTGAGGATTTACTTTATTTAATTTGATTTTTTTTCTCTTCAGGGGGTGTATATCCATTTGTAAAGTATATTAAAGAGAAATTCTACCACTAAGTAAAGAATTGTAGCAATTTGTGTGTAAACTTCTACAGTTAGCTATCATAAATTGTTCTCTTAAAGGAGTAGTTCACTTTTGCTGATAATTTACTCACCCCCATGTCGTCCAAGATGTCCACGTCTTTCTTTCTTCAGTCGAAAAGAAATGAAGGTTTTTGATGAAAACATTCCAGGATTTTTCTCCATATAATGGACTTCAATGGGAACCAAACGCTTCAAGGTCCAAATGAGAGTTTCAGTGCAGCTTCAAAGGTCTTTAAACGATTCCAGACGATGAATAAGGGTCTTATCTAGCGAAACAATCACTCATTTAATCAATAAATAAAAAAGTTTAAGTTTTATGAGCACAAATGCACGGCTTGCTCTGTTCTGTGATACGCGTTTGTGACTCTCCTGTTCGAGCTCGTTCATCAAAATGAACAAATCTTTTATCGAGTCATGACGTGAAGGGTCCTAAATAAGATTCATCGTCTGGCGTCGTACACTGAATCTCTCATTTGGACCTTGAACCGTTTGGTTCCCAATGAAAATCCTGGAATGTTTTCATCAAAACCTTAATTTCTTTTCGACTGAAGAAAGAAAGACGTGGACATCTTGGATGACATGAGTAAATTATCAGCAAAAGTTTTTTTTAAAAGTGAACTACTCCTTTAAGAGCTCTATGCATAGGCTATCACTGGCTTTGCACTAAAATCTAGTGAGCTGCCTACCTAGATAGCATTTTCAGGCATTATATAATGTGAATTTGCCCAAACCTTCTGTCTAGGTACTTGGCACACTAGAGCTATGATTGGAAAATAATATGCCGCTTGTCTGTTAACATTGGTTTTGGCTCAAAACATAGTGAGCTTCTTACCCGGATACATTCTTAGGCATTATATAATGCAAATTTGCCTATGATACCAAAAATAGGCAGCTTACTAAGGCTATGTTTGGAGAGGAATACTGCCTACTTCCTTATTTTGGTCCAATTGTGTGTAAAAATGTTTTAACTCTTTGCAGTCTGATCAAACAGTGAAAGAGTGAACTGAATGGTGTCCGGTTCTGTTGAAGACAATTGTAATCAAATTCTGTAGCAGTCTCTATGTATACTATGCACGATAGGTGTACTATATAGGGTGACTATTTGAAGTAGCTATTGCAATCCAGAATTCACCCTATAACAAAATTAGTATGAGTAGAATTCCGTACAAAACAAAGGTTTGTGGACACAGCCATTTTGTTTGTCTTCATCTTTGCACCAGATGGCGCTATTGTTTAAAAAAAAAATATTTAGGTTGTACATGTGTATTTCTAAAGGATTAGTGAAAGAACTCGTCACTTGGCTACACACATTCAAATTATAATGGCAAAAATAGATTTACCATAACCTTTAAAAGTACTGTAGTGTTAAGAAATAATCGTGTGCTAAAGCACGAATGCCACTAATCTGTATACTATGATATTTCATGATACTCGATGGAATACCAAGTCGTTCTCATACATGACCAAGAAACGTTATATTACCATGGTATCAAGTCTAAAAAGCATTGAGACATGGAAAATAATACATTAATTTCAAATATTTGATCTTATTGCAGTTACAAGGAACGTGGAATTAAATGTTAATTCCGTTCAAACTACGACTTGGAACACTGTAGTAAGAACCAAAACCCACACGCAAAAACAGATATGTGTTTGGGGGGCGTGCCTCACCTTAATTAATTCACACTTCTGTCCAATCAGTGCTTAAGAGGGCGGGGTTCAAGCGCTCAAGGCGCGCGCCCGAGCGCGCAGACAGTAACTCGGTCCGGAATTCAGCGTGGAGTGCTGACAGTCCAAACGCAGTCACATTTAGACCAGGAATAACTCACTTGTCATTTAAGGAACTGATCCAGTTTTACTTGCAGACTTAAAACAAGGCTGAACTCCAGATCATGCGCTCTATGTGAACAAGCTGCGCAAAGACGCACAGGCTGAAAGACAATTGACAGCTCGCCAACGGGACATTGGAGTGGACATGTGAAGAAATGGATATGCAGCCTCTTCATGTGATCAAAATGCGATCTGAAATCATCATCGTCCTCATCCTCACTGCTGTGATTGTTCCCCTTTGCACCTCGCAGTCAGGTGAGCGTCCAACTCCCGTGCGTAAAAGTGCTTATCCATCCTTCATATCAGTCTTATTGGATAGCTTTGTGTTCTGGTATGGCATTTTATTTAATATATGGGCACGTTTCAGTGCATTCAACATTTTTTTCAATCCGTAAACTCCCAGCGATTGTTTATTCTGACTTGGGCAGCACAAATACTTCAGTGCCAAACTCCAAGTGTCCACATAACACATCCGAGAGCAATTCGTGAAACTGTCGCTGCTTCATTTATATTTGTGATCCTCATCAATCAAAATATGTCAAAGCAGTCGTCAGAGATGTATTGAAAACTGACATCAGAAATCCAAGAAATCACTCTTTGCACCGCGTTTGAGCGCAGTTACGTGCTTGAATACGGATATGTTTCTTTCCGTCTTTTTAAATGATCGTGTTTCTTGGCTGATTCTTGATTTTTGAAGTGTAAACGAGCAGTTAAGTTATTCCATCCTCTCTCCACACGATGGTGGCAGTCAACCGATTAACGGCAGGGCAGCTGAAGCGCGGAGCCGTGCGTTTTTACGCATCTTTTTTCATGATGTGTAATGACTGCGGAAGCGCTCGGAACCTTAAGAATTAACTCATTATACATAGGCCTACATCGATATATCAATTTCCCCCTGAAAGAAATAAGCATTAGAATCGCGAAAGAAACCTCGACATTATTATTAAATAGGCTACATTGTTGTCATTATAGATTTTTTAAATAATTTATCTATTATTTGGATAATTTATAGATTTCCCACAAGTCATTATTTATAAATCTAATAAATTATGAAGTCTGGTGTCAGTTGAATTTATTAATGAATGCGATTTTGTATTCATTTTTTTTTGGGAGCGAATCTACTAACTGCTAGATATAATGCACTAATGGAAATGATGTTAGATGGTACGGGTCCACTGGTTTCTGCTCAAGGTTACTGCACTGCAAAAATTAGGCCATTGCATATTTATAAGTTATAAGTTAATTTAAGTGTTTTTCCAAACAATTTGAGCTATGACTAGCGAATTTTATTTTATTAAAACACTCTGCAATGTGACTTGGTCTCATTTAAAATAAATGTGCATGCAAATTTGTTCAACATCAATTTTGAATTGTTTCGTTGGCCTGGTTTTGTGGTAAATCGTTTTGAAAACGTGTCCTTTAAATGGTTCTCATTATGCACCAGCTCACACCTCTGTCGAGAACCATATGGCACCGTATTTGACCCAGGCTTCCATCTGACATTTAAGTTTGATAGAAAATTACTGCTGGTAGACCTGAGAATATGATCAAATTATTAATCATCTTCAAGCCAAATTAAGTTTGGTTGGAGAGTTCATGCGAGCTTAGGGAGTGAGAATATTTCCTGTTAATTAATGTCGTCACTGCTCTGATGTCTAGATGTGAACTTTCTTCTGAACAGAAAAAAAAGTGTCTTGCTTGGTGGAATATTGTAATATAAAGGCAATGATTGTTTATAGCAGCCTCTAATTGGATAGCATCAGGTTGCAGAATTCAGCAGCGTTTTCATCTGGTCTTTTGATCATATAGGTATCAACATGTTTATATATACTGCTACTCTTAATGTAGGGACACAGTTCACCCAGTTTACTCATATTATATTGTTCAAACCCCATATGACTGGTTGAACACAAAAGGAGATGAGCACTTTATTTCGATAGTCCACTTTAGACAATGCACTAACTATAAGACATTTTACTACGAATATCACTTTATTTTGATGCTCCCCGACAGATATTCTAGTACTGACTATAAGTAACTTTGCAAATACCAACCAACTTATTCTACTGACTCTAATTAACCCTTACCTAACAGCCTACTAATGCTCTACTGAGAGTTAGCTGACATAGTTGTCAGCTAAGCGACAGTACTTTCACTGTAAAAATGAATGTGGTTTATTTAATAAAAAAAAAATTGTGGCAACAGATTACAAGCATCATTAGAATTGAGTAATAATTAATCAAATTAATTCCATTTAAAATGAGTAAAACTTTTTTGTTCAAAGTAAATTTAAGTCACCATTATGGTGATCAATGTTTGTTTTAAAATCACGGTTTTCTCCTTCAATGATTCTGCTTGTTAACATCAGGTGTCTTCAGTGTTGGCAATATACAATATAGAGTTCTTATTTAATCTGTGACGTCTGTCACTTATTCAGATATTTTTGTTTAATTTTTTGGTGTAAACTTTACTCATTTTAAATGGTTAACTTTTAAGGAATAATTTGATTCATTATTACTCAATTCTAATTTGTTAAATGTAATCTTTTGCCACTCTTTTCTTGATTAGATAGCATATTCATTTTTCCTGTGTATATTTGGTATATCTGAAGTGGACTATCGAAATGAAGTGTAAAATGCAGATGTTTGGGATAATAGGCTGAATGCAGCAGGGTTTCAACATACACTAGTACTGTAAAAGTACTGTATAATAATGTCCTTACAACGATAGAAGAAGTTCTGGAGAGTTAACACCACTGTACCATGCAAAAGTTATATATATACACACCGCCCTTCAAAATTTTGGGATTGGTACGATTTTTAAAGTCTCTTCTGCTCACCAATTTACTGCACCAAAAATACAGTATTGTTTAAATGTATATTTGAGTGTATTTTAGCATCATTACTGCAGTCTTCAGTGTCACATGGCACTTCAGAAATCATTCTAATATGCTGATTTGCTGCTCAAGAAACATTTCTGATTATTATCAATGTTGAAAATAGTTGTGCTGCTTCATATTTGTGTGGAAACCATGATACATTTTTTTCTCAGGATTCTTTGATGAAAGGTTAAAAAAACAGTATTTATTTGAAACAGAAATCTTTTGAAACATTCTAAATCATTTGATGATCTTTGCTGAATGA